TTTCCAAACAAAAAATAGTACTAAAGAAAATTCTTTGTTCAAGTGTGGGATTGCTGCTCCAAAATGTCGATCATCTTTTGGACTTTTTCCCACCTCGATAATATCTTGACCTCACAGGTATTAAATGTGTTTAATTGATTACTAAATGTGGGTAATTGATTAAATGTGTTTAATTGATGACTAAAGGGAAAAACAAACCGATGAATCGTGAAGAGACAAAGAGACCAAGGATATCAGTCTGGGCTTTCAGGATATACTTTGGCACACTAAAAGTATTAGTCTGAGCTTTAAGGATATTATTCTACATAAAGACGGATATTTTTCTTGGAGGTTACGATATATTTTCGAATAAGAATTTATGTTGGTAATTATATCCAACATTTGACAAAATATTATCCATCTTGCTACAAACCAACATCCTTCCCTAAATACTATCTAACCCTAAGTTCAGTTTTACAAACCAATATCACACTACACAAATCTAAAATAAACTTTTCTTCCTTTTCCCTCATCGTCTTGGTCATCACTTTCTTCATCCTCAATTTCTTGGTCCTCATTTTGTTGTTGTTGTTTGGCACATTTAGGCCTAAAAGTTTCGCCTTCTGATGTGGTCCTCATTGCAGTTGATTTAGTTCTTGTCATTGCAGCTGGACTTCACATAACGAATACCCCAACCATCAGAAGTAATATCAAACAAGTCATATCTAAATATATCAAGCAACTATCCAGGCAATTCACAAATGATATCATGGTCGACCAAAACCAATATCAATGTAGGAATATCCAGATATATCAAACAACTATCCAGGCAATTAAAAACTGATATCCTGCCCGAACAGAACTAATATCGGAACGCACACAAAACATATCCACAAAACCCAGAAAACAAAGCAACCACATCTAATCAAATCCACAAAATCCACAAACAAAGCAACCCATACCCAGATCCAGTCACATCCACAAACCCAGAAAACATATCCACATAATCCAAATATATCAAACAACTATCCAGGCAATTCACAAATGATATCATGGTCGACCAAAACCAATATCAATGTAGGAATATCCAGATATATCAAACAACTATCCAGGCAATTAAAAACTGATATCCTGCCCGAACAGAACTAATATCGGAACGCACACAAAACATATCCAAAAAACCAAAAAACAAAACAACCCAGATCCAATCAAATCCACAAAAAAAGCAACCCAACCCAACCCAGATCCAGTCACATCCACAAACCCAGAAAACATATCCACATAATCCAAATATATCAAACAACTATCTAGGCAATTCACAAATGATATCATGGTCGACCAAAACCAATATAAATCATGGAATATTCAGATATATCAAACAACTATCCAGACAATTAAAGACTAATATCATGCCCGAACAGAACTAATATCGGAACGCACACAAAACATATCCACAAAACCCAAAAAACAAAGCAACCCAGATCCAATCAAATCCACAAACAAAGCAACCCAGACCCAGATCCAGTCACATCCACAAACCCAGAAAACATATCCACATAATCCACAAAAGAAAGCAACCCAGATCCAGTCAAATCTAAGTTACCAGAAAACAAATCCATCAAACTCATACAAAAAACACAGAAAAAGAAAAACCCAGATCTAGTCGAATCCATGAAACCCTAACTTCAAACACTACTTATTTCTTTGAAACACAAAATCAGAATCCAAGAAACAAAATCAAAAGAAAAATAGAACAATCTTCAGAAACTCGATTGAATCACAATAAGCAAGGTGAAGAATGAAATAGAGGAGAGAGAGAGAGAGAGAGAGAGAGAGAGGAAAAACACGGTTACTGTCGTCTTCTTCCTTCAAGCACAGCCACCGTCGCCGACAACTTCTTCCTTGTCGCGATACCGTCGTCGCCGTCATTTTCACAGTCGTCGTCGTCTGCTTCGTTAGAGTCGGAGAGTGGTTCTGGTGATTATTGGGAGAAAATGGGAGGAGGAAACAAAAAAGTTTTTGAGGAGAGAGAATGAAAATTGACGAAGTGATTTGAAGAGAGAAGGAGGCTAAGAAAAGGCAGTAATTTTTTTTTAATTTGTGGGCCCCCTTTGGATAGTGGAATTAGGGCAGCCGATGGACTCGGCTCTCTTCCTCTCACAAGTCGGCGCCAATCTTCCTCCACCGTCCGATCCGGCTCGACGACGTGGCCATCTATCCTACCCTGTCAGTATCTCCTAACAAAATGGCCTGTTAGGAGCATAACTAGATTGCCCCCCCCCTTTGGTTCAGGAATCCATAGTCTCATTCATTGATGAGACTCCCTACAACCTACAACCCTTGCTTTCTTTGTACTAATTTTTTTTTCCTTGTTTAATACATTTCAACATTATCTAGAAAACGGTGGGTATTAACTCATATATATTTTTATGATTTAACGTCATTCATTAGGCTACGACTCGGAATTGGGCAGTTAAAAAATCACATTATCATATTGAATGATTGTGCTTACGAGTAGCATAAAAACAACCAAGACCAAAACTGCAGGCATTTACTTAGGAGAAGAGAAGAGGGAGCAAATCGTGCTTAATTCAGACCTACGTAACCCGACATAAGTTAAATCATAACTGTTTATCTCCAAACAATCTTAGTCATCAGCTAACTTGGATAAGGACATGGAGGGGTGTGTTGGTCATTCTTTGCTCTTTTCCCCTCATTTATTTGTATTTATCTCTGTCATGGATTTCATGTAGAATCCTATCACTTTTTGACCAATCAAAATCTACTTTTTCTAATTTTTGTTTTTCATTAGTAAGGTCCTATGTTCTTCATTTTAACTTCAAATTTTAAAATATGTCTTCTTATGAATAGGTGACTTTTATTTCATCAAATAGGATCACAACATAGTAACTTCTCTTTTACAAATTTCGACCTCTAATCTATACAAACTCGAAACAAAGCTAGAACTAAACAAAACTCAAAATATCAGTAAAGAGTGATACTAAAGGTGGCAATTGGATCGGATTCGTGGATTGGATTGATGGATCCATGGATCAAATGGATTGGATCCAATGGATTGGTGGATTCATGGATTGGATCAAATGGATTGGTAGATTGATCCATGAATCCAAATGACATCCAAAGCTTGGACCAAAATGTAAATTTTGAAAAGTTTAGATACTAAAATGTCATAATGAAAAATTTTAGGTACCAAAATTTAATTTTCCAATGATTTTTTTCGTATAAAAATATAAATTTTAGGTACCAAAATGTAAAATATAAAAAATATAGGTACCAAATCATAATTTGTCATTTGGATCCATGGATTGATCCACGAATCCACCAATCCAATTGGATTTGGATCAAATGGATTGGATTTAAATGGATTGGATTAAGTGGTGGATGGATTGGATTCATGGATTTGGATCCTAATTGCCACCTCTAAGTGATACAATAGAGTTTCTCACAATAAACCAAAGTGACTTATGTATGGCTGCTTTTGCAAACCTCGGGCAACCCTCAATTTTAGCTTGCAATGTTTACCTCATCTTGTGTACTAGCTCAACTACTTCTAGACCGCTCTCTCCATACTTCACTCATAAAGGTTCACTGTAGCCTGCGAATTGAGCAATTATGCAGGGGACTAGATACTATAACAACACCCCTTATGTTGTTATTGTAACAACACTAGTCTCCAACCAATAGGAAGTTAGGGTTGTGATGACTTTTTATAGATGAGTTGACCTAGTGTAAAATCAAAGCAGGGGTATAATTGTCATTATGAAAAATCTGTTTAAATAATAATAAAAATAAAAAAAAAAATTATTTTGGGCCCAAAATTTTGGTCGCCGGAATTCGGCCACCGGTCGCCGGAAACTGGTCGCCGATCAACGGAATATGCTTTTTGTCGCCGGAAAATGCTATTTGTCGCCGGAATATGCTTACCGGCGTCGAAATATGCTTACCGGCGTCGGAATCTAGTCATCGGGGCCGGAATATGCCTATCGGCGTCGGAATCTGCTCACTGACGGTCATCGGAGTTCGGTCAACGAACTTTGTTGACCGGTCAACGGTATTCGTTGACCGGTCAACGGTATTCGTTGACCGGTCAACGACCACCGGATGTATGGTCTGCATTGTGAGATTTATGGTTTGGTTTATCATATTTTTGTATGCCTTTTGTGGTTTGCTTTATCGTGTTTGTGGTTTGCATTAAGAAGTTTCTGGTTTGCTTTATCGTGTTTGTGGTTTGCATTGAGAAGTTTCTGGTTTGCTTTCAAAAAATTTGTGGTTTGCTTTGCGTGGTTTCTGGTTTGTTTTAGTAGATTTTTGGTCTGCATTAGAACGTTTCTGGTTTGTTTTTGTGGTTTGCTTTATCGTATTTGTGGTTTGCATTATGAGGTTTCTGGTGTATTTTTTAAAATTCTATGGTTTACTTTGCGGGGTTTCTGGTTTGTTTTAGTAGATTTTTGGTCTGCATTAGGACGTTTCTGGTTAGTTTTTGTGGTTTGCTTTACATTAGGACGTTTCTGGTTGTTTTTGTGGTTTGCTTTATCGTGTTTGTGATTTGCATTATGAGGTTTCTGGTGTGTTTTTGAAAATTCTGTGGTTTGCTTTGTGAGGTTTCTGGTATGTTTTAGGCGATTTGTAGTATGCATTATGAGGTTTCTAGTGCGCTTTAGAAACATTTGTGGTGTGTTTTATGGTGTTTCTGGTATGTTTCAGGAGATTTATGATTTACATTACAAGGTTTTTGGTGTGTTTTATAATATGTTTTATTGAATTTATCAAAATGCCTAGGTCTCTCTTTCAGTGATACAGAAGCAGTCTTGTTGAGTTAATTTTATTTCCCCACAAATTAGTGAAACATAACACATATTTTTCCATCTCCTTCATCAACATCATCAACTCAATCACTGCCACTCTGCCATTATGAAATGGTGATACATTTACACCAACACTAAAACCCGAAATCTGAGAAGGCAGAAACAGTGACCAACAATTAGCCAAAATATAGCAAACTATAATGTGCTATTCAATGGAAACTTCGTGCTATACAATGGAAACTTCGTTATTGGTGGGTTATTAATAAGCAAGCAACGTTTTCCTAAAAAAAAAAAATTAGCAAGCAACGTAATCCAACCCAAAGTTTCTCCATCGACGACTCCGAGTGGCCTACTTGGATTGGGAGTGGGAGGTGCTCGGGAGCAGGGTTTTGGGAAGATGGAAACTACAGCCGCAACAGCAGGAAGAGCACCACCGCCGCCGCTGGTGATTGAGCGCCCGCCGAACAACCGCTTCCACTGAATCGTAATCATCCGGTAAATCCTCAACCTCGCCGCCGACATGCTCAAAACCACGCTCTTCCTCAGCTTCTTCAGCCTCTTCCCGATCCTCACCTTCAACTTGCAGAGCTTGATCTGGCAAAACGACGCGCTCCGCCGCGAATGGTCGGCGCGTTGCATCACCTTGTAGATCAGGGACTGAGCCCGCCGGTGCAATACTTCTTCTGGGTCTTCCTTATCGAGCTTGGAGTAATTACTACACCGTCGGTTCATTATTTCACTGCTCATTTTGTTTTTTTAGAAAAAATGGGGGAGAGCAGAACCGCCTAGCGACGGGACAGGGGAGGCGGAATTTAGGTCTGAGTTGAGGGATAGGGAAAGCGAAGAAGGGGAAGCGACCAGCAAATATATATTAATTGAATTTTATTTTGAAATAAATTGTGTTGATGGACCCTCTTATCCCTGTTGTTATTATAACAACACTAAGTGTGTTGTTATTGTATCTCGTTCCATTATGCAGACTACAAGCTGCATCGCTAATCCCTTTCTGACAATTTCCTCTCGGATGATAAAACCATTATGAAGACAAAATTACATGTTTCTCTTGCAGTGGTGTAGCCCGGACTTTACTTAATGTGGATCCGACATGAAAAAAATATAAGGTGAATTTGATTAATGGTTACAATGAACCATGATGTGTTTTCAAAATTTAAAAAATTTCTAAAACACATTCATCATCCAAACTAGTTGTCAAGTATATCTCATTTTATTTCCTACAAAACAAATCATCATGAATTAAGCAATTAATTGACTTTAAAGTACGTTCTTCATGTATAGATTGCGACAAGTACACTTTCATCATTAATGAGACAAACAACAAAGCAACTTTTACGAGTCGGTACACTAACAAAATTCATTGAGATTCTTTATCACAACTATTGTTGGCTAGGGTCCGGATCACCTCAATAACCGACCCCTCAGTAACTGTCAGTAACCATCCATCGCACCGTCCATCGCACCATCTTTCCAGCCGTCAGATCATGCAAATTAACTACACGCGGGGGCAAAATAGTAATCACGTCTCTGACAATTTGAATTGCAGACGTGACAACGACAACCGTCCCGCCTTCTCTCCTTCTTTCTCTCACCTTTCAAGCGACAATTCCACTTCCCTCTGCTCTCTAACTCTCCATTCTTCCTCCCGATCCTCAATTCTCTCACCAAAATCACAGCAAAAACTTCTAGAAAAAAACACAAAATAAACTTCAAATCGAACGATTTTCGCAAAGGTTTTCGAAGAATCATTCAACGATACACTGTTCTCGCTTCTTCGTCAAAAAACGAAGGGTTTCCAACTTCAACGGGGCTCAAAAATCGTTTTCGTACAAAATATCAAGGTAAAACCTCATTTCTTTCTTCGAAATCCATCCACAGAACAATAGAAACAGTATTTCAGTCACTCTTCATGTGAAAATTGTAATATACTCGCTAAATTACCGAATTGTTACCATGCGTTGCTGAACTGGTGTAGAATCTGTTGTGTTTTGCTTCGTTACCATATGGTAATGTGTGGTAAGCTATGATTTCATGTTGTAAAATAGCAAAAAATCATAAGACCCGCTGTGTTTTAGTTTGTTACCATATGGTAATGTGTGGTAAGCTATAGTTTCATGTTGTAAAATAGCAAAAAACCATAAGTCCTGCTGTGTTTTAGTTTGTTACCATATGGTAATGTGTGGTAAGCTATGGTTTCATGTTGTAAAATAGCAAAAAACCATAACTCCTGCTGTGTTTTAGTTTGTTACCATATGGTAATGTGTGGTAAGCTATGGTTTCATGTTGTAAAATAGAAAAAAACCATAAGTCCTTCTGTGTTTTAGTTTGTTACCATATGGTAAGGTGTGGTAAGATATGGTTTCATGTTATAAAAATGGAGGAAACCATAAGTGCTGTTGTGTTTTACTTCGTTACCATATGGTAAGATATTATAAGACATGGTTTCATGTAATTACCATATGGTAAAATGTGATAAATATATGGTTTGATTTGGTATGGTAGAAAACCATTATGGTACCATATGGTATATTATGGTAAAAAGCATGCTAACAGACTATTCCTAATTTCTACATTCAGGTACACTATGGTAAACCAAAGAAAAAGTTTTCGCACAAGGTGCAGCCCAACAAGAGTATCTGCAATTGCAAGGACAATAAAAGATGAGCAGAAAGCGCAACTTGAGATATTAGGTCTAGCAGGCTTAATATAAATCAGGCAGACAAAGATAAACAACCATTTTGCACATTTCATAATGAACAAATACAATCCAATGAAAGAATCATTCAAGCTACCTGACGAGACACACATGAAGATATCACCAATCGACTTTCATAGGGTATATGGTCTGCCGATGGGGAATAGGGAAGTTGTACCTCCCATGATTTCTTGGGACGACGCAACAGATTATGCAATAGAAACCCTACTGGAAGTAGATGGAACATCCACTCCAAGGGTAAAGCTAAGTCAGGTAGAAAAAGATCTTCCTACAACGACAAACAGTAAGAGATGGTTACAATTGTTCTTTCTGCTGGTCACCGGAGGCTTGCTGTGTCCAACTTCAGCCCCTATGGCTGAACTCAACATGCTTGAGTACTTGAAGACTGATGAAACATTTCACCAGCTACAACTGGTGCAAATACTTCTTCAAACACATGAATGAAGGATTGAAATCACCAACCCTCTATGTCAGTGCAGATCTTCACTTCCTTACAGTAAGTCTCCATTCCCTTGGCCATTTCAACCTTGTTACTCATATATTTTATATATAAATGATACTCTTTGAAAAAACTAATACAACTATCTGCATAAAAAGGTATGCTTCATGTACAAACTGGACGAAATGGCATTCTCAACCCAGCTTCGAACACCAACAGTAAGCTACTGTGATGATCTCAATGTCGAAAGCAACTTTGAGAACATTAAGAGCTACTACAATTGAAAAGAGTTGAACGAGATCGAAAAGGTTGCCAACATTAGTGACAATGAGGCTGATGATGCAACTGATGAGGAAGAGGAGAATGAGCCAGTCTATCAGTCACCGAAAAGACAAAGAAACAAAAGTCCAGACCAGTCATCATCACTGAACTTTGATTTGAAGAATATCAGAACAGTCAACCAAGTAAGTACAAATTATTCATATTACAATTGTCCAATTCATGCTAACCGTAAGTCCTTCTGTGTTTTAGTTTGTTACCATATGGTAAGGTGTGGTAAGATATGGTTTCATGTTATAAAAATGGAGGAAACTATAAGTCCTGTTGTGTTTTAGTTTGTTACCATATGGTAAGGTGTGGTAAGCTATGGTTTCATGTTATAAAAATGGAGGAAAACATAAGTCCTGTTGTGTTTTACTTCGTTACCATATGGTAAGGTGTGGTTAGCTATGATTTCATGTTATAAAAATGGAGGAAACCATAATTCTTGTTCTGTTTTACTTTGTTACCATATGGTAAGGTGTGGTAAGATATGGTTGCATGTTATAAAAATGCAGAATAGTGATAATAATTGTCAATACCATGTATTACCACCATGGTAACTAACCATACACCATACACACATTACCACCATGGTATCTTACAAAAACTCCCATTATGCAGGCTGAGAATGCAATCAAACTGCTTGAAGCATCAATGAAGGCAATGATGAAAGCAATCAAAGACCAGTACAAAAGCCAAATTGACAATCTGATCAGACACAAGGAGAATCTTGCGAAAGAAAACTGTGATGAACATGTTCAGCCCACAGAAGGAGAAAAATCTCAGTGTGAAGATGATGAAGAAATGAATGCCTGTTTGGATAAAACACTCAATGAAATATTCAAACAGGCAAAGATAGACCAGAACAAAGAGGAGAACGAGGAGCAAACACAGAAAGAAGATGATTCACAACCATCTACAGTAGATCTTGCTCCATCTACACCGAAGGCAAAAGAAAAGGAGCAAGATGATTCTGCTCCAGGAGCTGTGAATAGGGAAAGCATCCAAGAAGGAGATCCAATGGGGGAAGTTGCAACAGAACCACCAGCACAATCTGTTCAAGAAGGTCTGAATCAGGGAACACCACAGCAAGGGAACACCCCGAAAGCAGTTCCAGAACAGACATCTGCAAAAGAAACAGAAGAAAAAGGAGCTACCAAAACAGCAGATCCAATGGATGTTGATAAGGAAACAACAGAAGAAGGGAATACAGGGCAAGCTGCACAAAAGACTGCAGAAACTGACAGCGAGAAAACGGTGTCAGATGATGTTGTTCGAGAAGAGGCTCCAAAACTGACAACCAAAGCTGCTGAGAAGCCTAAAGTGACAAGGGAAGACGACATTCCATCCTTCGATCTCAGCCCTCTCAACCATCAAACACCAATGAAGTTGACTACCACCACGGCAACCGATCAACCAGGAGAGCCTCGCAAAAGAAGAATCGTGGTGAAGAATGTGCACGGAAACGAAAAGAAGGCAAAAGGAACACCACCACCAGCACAGCCACAAAGCACCCAGTCACAGAAGGAGTCATATGCTATATGGTCAAATCTGTACACAAACAGCCAAGAGAAGCTCAAGGAAGTGCGTGAATGCATAGATGCTTACCTAGAGGACCTGAATTCTCCAACTATTGAACCAGTTGCTCCACAATCACAAAGATCACCAGTTGAATGGTCAACACCAACACAAACAACACCTGATGATATGTTCAGCAACATCCTGGAGTACATAAGATGCAAAAACAAGAAATTTGTCAAGAGGTAAGTCATCATATTAAAACTTCTAATGTTATATGATGTTACTGTAGTGATCTAGTTTGTTACCATATGGTAAAATATGGTAAGATATGGTAAAATTAGATAAATCTATGGTTTAATGTTACAAAATGTAGTGATGCACAAGTCCTGTTTTGTTTTAGTTTAATACCATATGGGATGATGTGGTAAGCTAAGGTTTGTTGTTAAAGAATGGATTAAACCATAACTCCTGTTGTATTTTACTTATTACCATATGGTAAGATGTGGTAAGCTGTTGTGTTTTACTTATTACCATATGGTAAGATGTGGTAAGCTATGGTTTTGTTGTGGTAACCTATTGTTTGATGTGATAAATTAAAGTAAACCATCCGTCCTGTTGTGATGTGCTTTTATACAGTGATGAGATAATGTTTAAAAGGAAGGATGGAACATTCTTGCTGAAAAGGGAGTCAGTACAGTCGATTGACATTCGCTGTGAAAT